AACTTCACGGTCCCTGCTGTCCTCAACAGACCACGCTCAAATCAGTTGGGAGCAGGATATACAAATGGGAGCAGGATATACAAACTGCCTTATAAGAACATAGTAAGCTGAGAGGTTGAATCTGTTCAGTACAGATACATCTCAGAATTTCACTGAAAATTTTTAAGACAAGTAATGAGATTTTACAAAGACTTATGACAAAAAATTTTTGCAGATACCCTCGTCCCAAGTAGCCTTCCCTTTAAACTGTACAGTCCTAGTCCAAACTACAGAGGCATCAAAATCCCCTAATATCTTTCTTGTGAGTCATTGAGAGGTTTCCAAAAAACTTCATTCCAACTACACTTATCATTCTAACATGGTGTAATCAAAACTAAGGCTATTTCAATATTTTTTATATCTTACAAGCATTGAGTAGTAACCCAAATAAGGCAAACAAGGCATGCACCCAGTTCTCTTTAGCATAGTGTAAATATATGGTAATATACTAAAATCAAAAGAATTCCTTAGAACTTATATCAAGGTAACCAGCAGCAAAACGGAGGCCTTCCCTATAGCAGAACCCGATTGTCTGTCCTACAATTTGCAAACATCCTACAAGAAAATAATATAGAGAATTAGCAAGTCATGTCATCTAATTAAAACCACCTTTTTCGTTGTAAAAGCTTTTTCACTTTTTACTTCTGAGCACAGCTGTGGGAGGACATGTAACCTGACCAAGATAACATGCCCTCCAGTACTTGATCCCCCAGTTTTCCTCCAGGGAAGGTATTTTGACTCCAAGAAAATAGAAAGGTAATTAGGTTATTTTTCTGAACCCTTAAGCTTTTTATCTCCTAAGTACCTCAGTTTACCTCATAAATATATTACACGTCCACAAACCCTTACTTTCTCATGAAATTGAAAATACTTTTAGTTAAGCTTTTTTTTTTTTTTTTAAATTTTAAACAGAAAACTATATTTGATGAAAGCTTGACTCTGCAAGATACCTAGCCTGCAAAAGCTGCTCAGGAGTCATCTGGTCCCCGTACTTTTACCTGAGAAACATCAACAGAGATTTTCTTTCATCGTATCTTCTACCTGTTCTCCTTTCACCACTTCCTCTCATTTCCCAGGGAGCATCACACTCTTCTGCCTCTCAAATTCAGCTTATAATTACTATCAGATACCTCATGTACAGTATTACATATAAATTCTGAGGTAAATGTAGGCTTTAGAGGTGATTTCTCAACCAGCTTTTTATGCAGTATGTAGCACTGCTGAGCCCAAAACTGGTTAAACTATGAAAGGTCCATTTAAATATTTATACTGATTTAATTACACTGGGATTACATTCCTATCTGAAGCTATGACTCCACACAACAATACATAGTAAGCTACCTATTAACGGATGAAAAGTCTCAGCAGCTAAACATGAATCTGTGCAAATATACACTCCTGTCTACACTTGTTAAGAACATTTTAAAAGGAAATTTCAGTATGGCTTTCCAGGAGCCTGAATGAAAATATGCCCCTGTGAATATACCAGACTTCTTTCAAATTTAGCATCTCTTAAAAAAAAACCCTTAATATCCATAAAGTGAGCAAAAAGCTGCTGCCCCAAAGAAGAAAACATGCCATGTGGAAAGGCACTTCCTATTTTTCTATTGATTACACTAACTTAATAAAACAAATCTGTTCTCCTCCCACCCAACTTCTGCTCTTATCCTCAGTTTTTGAGCACATTACTCCTCTCTGCTCTTATATTCCACATTAACACAGCAGTTCTTGACCTAGTTACACACCTCCCCCCAGTTTCTGCTGCTACATTTCTTTCCCCCATCCTGTCTTCCCAGATGTCTGCTTGTTAGCTCCTGCTTCTCACTCTTTCTTTCTCTTCCCCGAGTTTCTTCTTCTTTCTCACATTTGATATTTACAACTTTCCCTGTATTTGAGCCAGGCTCCTTCTCCTTTATCACACCTCTTGGTGTTGCTCGTCCCCAGATAAAGCCCAAACAAAATATTCTATGTACTTTCAGTAAAACTTCACGGTCCCTGCTGTCCTCAACAGACCACGCTCAAATCAGTTGGGAGCAGGATATACAAACAGCCTTGTAAGAACATAGTAAGCTGAGAGATTGAATCTGTTCAGTATAGATACATCTCAGAATTTCACTGAAAAATTTTAAGACAAGTAATGAGATTTTACAAAGACTTATGACAAAAAATTTTTGCAGATACCCTCGTCCCAAGTAGCCTTCCCTTTAAACTGTACAGTCCTAGTCCAAACTACAGAGGCATCAAAATCCCCTAATATCTTTCTTGTGAGTCATTGAGAGGTTTCCAAAAAACTTCATTCCAACTACACTTATCATTCTAACATGGTGTAATCAAAACTAAGGCTATTTCAATATTTTTTATATCTTACAAGCATTGAGTAGTAACCCAAATAAGGCAAACAAGGCATGTATCCTGCATTAGCTGTAAATATTGACTATAGTGCTTGCCTGTTACTTGAGATGCAATAGACTCTACATAACTTTCTATCATTCCTTTCAGGAACTATTATCAAGTTGTCTGGCTTCACACCATCCTACAGTAAATGAAAAGTTGAGCCACCAGAGAGTCTGTGATGGGGATTTTGTGAAAGCGCGTGCAGTCTGCGCTTTTGCAAATCAATGCAAAGCGATGCACACTCAGAAAAATGACACAAGATTCATGGGGGAAGGATGTGAATCAGAACCTGGAAGGCAGCAGAATTGGCTTACTAGAGCAGACTTAATAACTATAAATCTATTTATATAGTTGTAGTTAATAACATCAAACATACTGAGAATATCATTACTGTATTCTAGTTATATAATGAACATATAGAACATACAGCTCATATTTATTAAACATAAGGCTGTATCTTAAAAACTCTAGTTGTTCAAATTATACAACAAAACAAAAAAGTGTTCTTGAAACTATCTTAAATTATATATGCTTAAGTAGGATGAAAAAACCACTTGCTTTTGAAACATTAATGGACTGCCAGCCCAAACTTCACGTGCCAAGTCACAAGTTTATAAAGAATTCTCTGGAGTGTGTTTTAAACTGCTGACTGTGCATGTGAAAGGAGATCAGATCCTAAAATTATGCACAAGAATGAAACCCTTGTTCCAAGACAGCCAGATCATTTTACAGCAGCATTGATGAGTTGAGGGGCAGGGGGAGCAAAACACTTCCAAATCCGTGCAAGGCACACAGTGTTCTGCTCCCAAAAAGGAAATATTAATTTCAGTGCACATTTTTGGAGTGCCATTAGGATGACACACATAAAGGTTTACCCTTGTATCTGCCCTGCTCCCAAGTTAATTCTTTTCCAGTTGAAATTTTTTTCTTTTAAGAAAGAAGTCCCAGGTGAGTTTCCAAGGAAAGAAGGAAGTTGCACATGAAAGAAATGGGTTAAGATAAACCTTCAAAGACAAGAAGCACAGCTGAAAAAAAATGTACTAAAGCTAATGCTTTAGTCCTGTAATATTTTAAGCTGTGCTACCCTGGTGCAGGTACTGGGATGCATGGCCCCATTCTCTCCAAATATTTTATGGCTTTTTCCCATACGCTTTGCCACCGTCACTTCTGGTATGCACCTACCGATTTTCTCCGGCAATTGTCTTCAGTAGCACCAGTTCCCCAGTCGAGCACACGCACTCAGTGCTACTGATGTGAAAAAAGCAGCAGCAGCAGCTGAAAGCAGAGAGGAGACTGGTACCATGCTTTTCAATGGCTGTGTCAAGTTCCATCAGGCTAAAATCATTGTGAAACTATGGTGTAAGTGTCCGTGACCACGCTGAGAAGCACCAGGGAATGTTCTAGAAACAGCCCTTGGTTCCATGCCTTTCCTGCCCCTGGCTATTACATCCAAAAAACATTCATAATATACAGGATTAGAAGCAAATAAAGGAGCAGAGGTGGGTTTTTTTGGCCTCCTCAGCAACATCAGCTCATCCTGGCTCCGCTGCACGTCATGACCCAGGAGAAGTAGGCCCAGGCTGGACACAAAAGTGGGGTGCTCATCTGTCTATCTGAAGAAAGACCAAGATTAAATTTGAACTGCTGTACTCCTGAGCAACAACCGTGGCAAAGTTCTTGGAGGTCCTTCTCATGCAGTTTCCTCAGAAGGGAATGTAGAAAGGGAGGTGCTGACCTTTCTTGTCTAGTGTCCAGCCACAGGACTCAGGGGATAGCATCAAGCTGCCTCAGGGGAAGTGCAGGTTGGACATTAGTGAAAAGTTCTTCATGGAGAAGGTGATCTGGCAGAGGAATGGGCTCCTCAGGGAAGGGGTCACACCCCAAGCCAGTCAGTATTCCAGAAGTATTTGGAATTTGGATATATACATAAAGTTTAACTTTTAGATTGCCCTGTGTGGAGCCAGGAGCAGGTCTGGATGATCCTTGTGGGTCCCTTCCAGCTCAGGATGGCCTACATCCCTGTGAGCTTCTGCAGCTTCCTTGACTGCCTCACTCCTGTGTCTCCTTCCCCAGAGCGGAACATAGAAGTCCTGTAGCTTTGCAACGACCCAGCATGCAATAAAACCAGCTGTGTGGGGCCAGACTGCTGGTGTAGGGAGCCGAGGGGACCACTTCCCACCTCAACCAGCGGTGTTTGACTCATGTTCCTCGTGTGAGACACACACCAGGCCGAGGCACCCATATTGCCCCATACATCCCAATGCCTTTGTGCTTCTATCCTCCACTACATCCACCACCAGCCAGCCCCATGTCTTCATAGCACATGGTGGGGCAGATTGATTTGTTCGGCTTGGTTTAAATCTGCCCCTGGTGGGGTGCCCAGCCCTTGTGGGGGCCTATTTCCAGCAGGCCCCACCTCACCTCAGGGCCCCCATGAGCCGCCCCCTCACGTTGGCCGTGCTCTGCCACCTCCTAGCGGCCGGGAGGGGCGGGGCGCCCCATCCGTTACAATCGAGGCGGAAGTGCCGTCATAGGAAGGTTCGCTCCCCCCTCCCCTCAGTGGAGGAAGGACGGCTTCCAAGATGGCTGCGCCGGAGGAGCGGGTCCTGTCGGAGGGGGAAGGCGGCGCCCTGGGTTCGGCGCGGCTCTCCCCGCCCCCGGTTTCGGAGTCTCCCGAGGCTCTGGCGCCCTTGGAGCCGCCGCCTCAGAGCAACACGCTCATGGGGCTGCCCATCGTGGCGATCGAGAGCATCCTCAGCTTCCTGTCCTACGATGAGACCAGCCAGCTCCGCCTGGTAGGGGCTGGGGAGGGGAGAGCGGGTGGACGAGCGAGCGAGGAGCCCTGCTGCGACCGGGACCGGGACCCGCCAGGGTGAAGCCCGCCTGGCCGGCCGGGCCCCGGGGCGGGAGCGGCGGTGGGAGGAGGTGGGGAGGTGCCGGCGGTGCCCTCGGCGGGGAAGGGGCGGGATGGGGTGGGATGGGGCTGGCTCCCGTCTCCCCAACCGCCTCCGAGCCTCGGGGACGGGCATGTCGGTGTGCGCCTCCCTCAAGGTCTCCTGCCATCTCTGGCTTCTTTCATTCCCTTCGCCCTCTATAAGAAATTACTGGGCTGCTGAAGGCTTATTTCTCCTAATGACTGGTCTCCTTGGGGGACCGGTCCATTGTGTCTCACGTGGGTATTTATTTGACTTATAGGCCGTAAGGCTACAAGTGTAGGAAATGGTGAGCCTGCTGCTCCAAGGACCCTGCTCTATCTAGAAATAAACCTGGGGTGAAAAGGAAAACGTAAGGAGGCGGCCCTTGCCTGCCTGCAGGGCTGCCTGCTTCTCCCAGTCATAGGAGTAGGTCTAATAAAAGATATTACCTCTGCCTCCAAAGTTTATAATGCCAAACTAAAACGCAGCTGTGGGTGAGGAGACCAGCGCATATCAATCTTTAACGGCCTGCATAAGAGCCTGATGTACACCATGACATAATACGATAAGCTGCTCTCTTACTGAATTTCTTATGAGGTCCTAAATGGAATAATAGTGAGGGAATTAATGCATAGCTTATGTAACCCTCAGTAAACTTGCATGTGCTGTACTGTTTCTATTTTAAGAACTCTATTAGCCTAAACTGGGTAATATTGCAAGCATCTTTCTGCAGAAAATTGGGCTGTGTGTGTCCTGGATCAGCAGCACGAAGTGTGGCATCCTGACTGTAACTTTAAACTGGAAGCTCTTCAAGCAGAAAATCTGTTCTTTCGTACTGCACTGAGTACACCAGTACCTAAATATTTCTAGCAGGCTGTCAATCCACTAAAGATGTCTCCTGCTTCTGTGAGGAAGATGTAGTACTGCCTCTCTCTTTGGGTTGCAGCCTCTGCTTTTGAGTACTTAGAGCCTGAATGAAGGGAGGAGAAGTGCATACGCTGTTTGGGCACGCTGGGTGTGCGTGGTCTGTACCACAATGCCAGGCACAGCCCTCAGCTGTGACTTTCCTGTCCCCTTTTACAAATGGTAGTACCTGTGGGAGCTATCACTGGGCAACAGAGGGTTTTTTTTTCTTTTTGTAGGGTGAAGTTAATGTTTGTAAGCAGTGGTTTGGCAGCAGTGGGAGTTGGGAGTAGGAAAGATGGTGGAGTAAGGACGAGACCAGCTATTTAACTGTCCATGCTACTTAGAAGTGTTACATTTTACTTCTTACACTCTCTTACATAGCACCTACAAGTTCATTTTTCTGAAAGAACACTCTCCCTTTCAGAATTTTCAGAAATATACATAACCAGGCTGGATAAATACCAACTTTGGCACACACATGAAACAATTCTAGTTGTAAAATGAAGGAAACTATTCAGTTTGTCTTTCCCTATTTTTAATTTTTGAGTCAGTGACAGCTGAGAAGAATCTCAATCAAATTCCCTACTGTTCCCTTAAGCACATCAGAAGGTGTTACATGTGTTCCTCTGAAAAGAAAGTACACTTGGTTTTGTTAAACAGCACTAATGTAAAGAACCAAAGCCTGCTTGGTTTGACCTGGTCAGAACTGTGGCTCATAACCACATAAGATTGATGACCTGGGTCTTTTGGATGGCCAGTCAGAACTAAAAGTGTTCTTTTGGAGATTCACTGAAGGCCCTAAACAGAAGGGAAGAGACTGGATGTTTTCCATAACTCCAGATGCTGTTGATGGAGAATTAAGGTAGCCTTTTAAAGTAACAATGCCTAGTCAAATTTATAGTGAAATTTCATCACATTCAGATTTTTAAGGGCTACAAGTGGTCTTGGAAGACATTTGTATATTCCTGCTCTAAGATCTGTCTAGCACAAACAGGAAATTTTTCTTTCTGAGAGCTGACTTGAGCTGCTTATCAAAGATGAATGGGTGTATCTTATAATGAGTAGTATTCTACTAAAGATGCATTGCAGGACCATGTTAATTGAATTACAGGGATTAAATGCATATTACAGTGCCCAAAAGCAGCCTCATTAACCCCTTAGAATGTGGCAGTCTTTCAGATAAAGCATCTTGAGGAAGGTAGGAAGGTACGATCCAGAACGTCAATTAACCTAAACAAAGTTTGATCATACACATGTAGACACAAAATGTGGATTCATTAAACTGATCACTTTGCATTCTCTGGATCCCAGCATTGAAGTAAATATCCTTATGTCTTTTTCTGGAACGTCATAGCTCACTGATCCAACAGAAACAAATAAAAATCTTTGAGTGGAACTGGTATTGGAGCTAGAGTGTGTGCAAGAAGACAGACTAGGGGGTTGGAAGAGTGGGAGGATATAGAGCATCAGCAAGTTTTCAGATTAAAATAGAGATAGGAACCTGTATTGTTTATATAGAGCATAATGTAAGTCTTTTTCTGTCACCAAAGGATGAGGTAAAGAATGTTTCCAGCTTTTGATGGTTGCCATCAGGCAAGGCAGGACCAGGGGCCCCTCATTGTGCAAAGAAGTCCTTGCTTTCCTGAGCATAATGCTTTTTGCTGTTCCTGGTGTTACTGCATTTAAAAGCATAAATGAAGCACCTACTGGTTAAGCAGTGAAGTAGATCTAAAGTAATGGAGGCAAAACAATAGGTATTCAGAATGCAATTGTGTTTGAAATTATGCCTTAGTGCAGATCTTGGTTCTTACAGTGAATGACAGGAAAAGCAGCAGCATTTTGCTTTCAGCCCTTTTGAGTATTTACTTCATCTATTTCCTCTGATATGTCATCATAAGAGAAACACAGAAAACTCCAAGATCATTATGTCTGAAGCTGTAACATTCTGGACAAGCTGCAGCTGGGTATGCATGCTGATCTGGGAGCTGCCTTATCTTCTAGCTTTTGAAGACTTCTTTTACTGTGATTTTTTTTTTTTTTGATAACTTACAGCAGCTCTGGAATCTCTACCTGAGCAGGATAATAATTAAATTCTTTTTGCTCATCTAAGTGAAAGAATGCACTTCCCAATGCCCAATGTCTAAGCTTGGAAATGCACTTCATTCAGACTGTTACTACAGCAAGTGTGATTGAAAACAAACAGTCCATAGCCTCCTTCCATGAACAATCTGAGGAGAGGGTTATCTTTGATTCTGACACACGTCAGAAGTGTCTTTGATTCTGCAGCAAACTCGTGCTTGTTTTCTGCACAGCACAAAGAAGGACTGAGAGCCTTTGGACAGCAGATTTAATCTTCCCACAATTTCAGTAAATCTGTGTTTACAGGCATTTCTATTTTAAAGCTTCTTGCTGAAGTCATCAACATTTTGTCACTTTTTTATACTTTACCCTGGAAAGGCATTATGAAACATGGTGTCTGCACAGCCTCTAAGGAAAAGAACATGTATTGAATCTAAATAGAGAGAGATATATATAGAGAAAAATATCCTATCTTTGATACTGGTTATCTGTTAGTGCAGCTTGGCGGAAGTAAGACAGGCTTGAGGAAAGGGAAGCTGTTAGTAGTCGTCTAAGTAGATCATGTTAATTTAGTCTGTTTACAAATGAAGTGAAAAATTAGTTCTTTCATAGAAGCTGTTAGGGCATATAAGTCAGGATGCCAAGAAGCACCCACCTTTTCATTCTGCTTTTCACAGGGACTTGGAGTAACTTTCTGACACTGGAATTTGAACACAGTGTCTGGTTGGATGTGACATTTAACAGAACTTTTTCAGCTTTATGGCTAGAGTTAGAAAATATTCACAAAAATTTGCAAATACAAGTATGAGCAAATTTAATTTTTTGCTTTCTTTGAATAGAAAAATATTGAAGTCCATTGAGTAGCTAGTATCAAACTGTCTTGGAGTAATATGAACGATTAAAAGTGTAATAACGCTACTTTCCATAAGACTGCTGACTGTGCAGTCTAAAAGAAGTATATTATTCCTGTAACTTCAGGTGCTGGATGGTTTAAATAGTGACATCAGGAGCCAGCTGAGAATTAAGAGGTGATTTGTAAAATTAATTGCAGGCAAACACTTCTGTTTTCTGGTGGTACCTGTTACCTGTTTGGTGTTTGGGTTGCAGACTGATTATTGGAATAAATATGGGTAATGTCTGGAAATGGAAGGAAATAATTCTTTGTGCTGTGTAGTGTAAGCAAATGAGTAAGATTTAAAAAAATCCCGTGTTTAAGAAATGTAGTGTTATCCATTGCAACCTGCTCTCTTGTACGTGCGAAAGGCCCTCGGTGCCAGTAGGGGTCAGTGTACACATACTTAAAATCGCTCTTTTTGTGCTTCCTCTGAAATTGCAGCTAATGATGTGTCTAGGGTTGGTTTTCTCTTGTGCTGAATTAATTGCAGAGCTAACACTGCCCTTGGGCAGGTACCAGGGCCTAGTTCAGGGGTTTGGTAGCATTAGAACTACAGGTCTTGTACTCAAAAAAGGCATCAGACTTAGGTATCACTAATGCAGCTAATGTCTTATAAAAAACATGACAATTTCCTCCTTCCTGTAGTTGAAGGGCCGGTGTTATTTTTTTATATGCTGGAAATAATTTAGCTGATCCAGTGAACGTGGGGGAGAGTGAGGCTGTACCTCTGTTGTTATCCTGTCATTCTTCTCCTTTGACTGTTCACAAGGAAGACCTAGTATGAAGGAGCACTGACAGCTTGATGGCAGTTGCTTAATGGTCTGTTAATACAGACTTGTTTAAAAATGATCAGTTCTTACAGAAGTTAAACTAGCTCGAACTAGAGGAAGACTTGTAGAAAGTAGAACTTCTTGAAGTAGTGCCTTCCATGCAAACAGAAAATAATTGCAGGCTTTTCTAGAAGCGAGAATCTTCTTCTTCAAGGTATAAATTTACATAGACTTCAAAAGTTATGAGATGAATAATGTATGGAGGGAAGGACTGTTCATAGACTTCAAAAGTTATGAGATGAATAATGTATGGAGGGAATTTTTTTTTAATGTATGGAGGGGTATTTTTTTTAAAAAAAAGCAAAGTCAATTCATTGGAAAGTGGGGTCATAGTGGGAGTTGTTCACTTAAAGTACAAAAAAACCCAAACCCCAAAACAATTTCAAAGGGCAGCTGGTTCACTAAGCTCTTGCATCCTCAGAACTGAATTGCAATTGCTTTAAACTTTTGTATGAGTTGGCTTTGTCGTGTAACTAGTTAGTTGAGAAGGTTTCAATTTAGCAGTTTATTCTGTCTTCTGCAGCTATTAATGACCTTTCTCCCTAAAACTGTGGAAGAAATTGAGGCTATTGGTATCCAACATCGCAAATAAAGGAATCTGTTAAACAGAGAAGAAAAGGCTTTTTTTATATATATACAAATAGGAATCTTATTTCATGTGCACTGTACTGCATAAGTTTTTAAATTTAACTGTGGCTGTCTTCATAAACATAAGCCTTAAATGCTGAAAGATTTCTTGTTTGTAAAGGCATCTTTTTTTAAGACTACAAAATATGAACTTGATCTACCAGAATCACTCTGGAGACCAAGTTAAAAGGCAGGCACAGGCATTTGCAACTTATAATTTCCTCTGATTTTAATTGATCTGCTTATATATGGGTGGCATTCAGCTTAGTGTCTTCTGTCAGGCAATACCAGGAGATGAATCTGTGAGGTGTGTAGAACATAGCTGCTGCTTTTTCTAGTATTGTGATCATTGTTAGAGATGGTGATGCCTTAAACTCAACTGCAGTTTCCGCTTCTTGAAATGGAGCAAAAACTGATAAGAGAATCTCTTACTACCCAGCAAGTATGGATGAGATAATAGTGAAAGTGACTTGTGGCCTTAACTGAGCCTTAAGGTTTTCTTTTTGCTTAAATACAGGTTTGTAAGCGAATGGACTTGGTTTGCCAGCGAATGCTAAATCAGGGATTTTTGAAAGTGGAAAGATACCACAACTTGTGTCAAAAGCAAGTTAAAGCTCAGCTTCCAAGGTACGTAACAGTTACATCTGTAGTTAAACTTCAATGTGCTAGATTCTTGTAGGCAGAATATTGAAAAGGAATTTCTTGCTGGTTAATTCTGCTTATATGTCTTGAAAACTTGAGTCATGTTTGGTTTTATTTCATTCTTTTTTTTTTTCCCCCAAAGCACCATGAACTTAAGATCTAATTAAAAGATAATGGTGTGGATGAATGTAAGTTATCTTATACTAGGAACTGGAATATGGGAGAGTCTCTGGTATTTTAAACAGAGAAGAGTGGGTCCTGTATTACTCAACTCTTCTGGCAAATCAAACAAGGACTTCTAGGAATGAATAATACCATTCCTTTTCAAGACTGCCTGCCTTTACTGATGATTTTTCTATGAGACTGCTTTAAAAAACAAAAAAGCAAGGTTTTTCAGTACCAGAAATTAAACAGGGGAAGGAGAGGGGAGTTTGACATGTGTTACTGGAAGCTAGTTTCTTGACTCCTTAGCAGCAACTAAAAACGTGAGTGCGCTATCGATATTATTTCCCATCCCAAAACCAAAACATAGCACTATGCCAGCTGCTAGTAAAAAAAGTTACTTATCCCAACTGAAACCACAACACACTAATAATATATTAAACTTAAGACAATTACATGGAAGTACTAACTGTAGGTATATGGGGGGAATAAAAATATTCACAGACTCGGTGTCTATTGCTAGTGAGTACTGAAAGCTTGTTTTTAAATAGTCCTAAATTACTTACAAAGTTTATGGATCATATAAGATGTAGTAATTATTTACAGAACAAACTTTGTTTAAGAAAGTGTAGTATGCTATTACCATAGCATTGAGCTGGTTTCTCAATCTAGATCAGGTTTTTTCCATAAAGACAAAACTAATGTTAGTGGTTACATTTTCAAACCTCAGGGGGTTTTGAGGGTGAAATTACCTTGAAGCGATTGTTCCAGTTTCATTTTGTTGACTCATTGTTAAATCTTAATGGTCTGTCTTCTAGACGGGAGTCAGAAAGAAGAAACCATTCATTAGCTCGTCACGCAGACATCCTTGCTGCTGTAGAAACGAGACTCTCGCTCTTAAATATGACTTTCATGAAGTATGTGGATTCCAATCTCTGCTGCTTCATACCTGGAAAGGTAAAACGTAGTCTATGTTATGTGAATGTATGTTATGTCTGTGTTTAAAAAAAAAAAAAAAAAAGATTGTGCAACTTAACCTGGGTCAGCCCAGACAAATCTATATATTTATAGAATACGTAGTGAAACTATGTTTCAGATACTTGGAAACAAACACACAAGCCAATATTCTGCTGTAATAGGCAGTGTGAAATGAATGAACCAGAATATATCTAAATATGAATTATTTTAAACTTCGTTTCCATTTTCTCTTAGATTCTCTCTTAATTCCCATGTTTGACTTGTGGCATATACATCCTATACAATCTTTTACAAAAAACATGGGATGTGTAGGGTTTAATTGTGAATTTTAATTGTTGGAAACAGCTGGGGCCAGGTCGTCAGAAGATGTAGTAGTTTAGACTATGTATAGCACTAAGCACTCAATCAGGAAGATTTTAGGCACCTTTCTTAAGCGTTTGAGTACTTCACATTAATTGAATTAAGATACTTAGTATGTGGAGGCACTGTTCAGTGTTACAGTGGATGGCATATTTTTGTACAGTAGGTGGAATTAATTTTAAATGTAGATCAAAGTCATGATGTGAGGAAGAGTGGGACAGCTCAGGGTTGAAACCAGGTGTGGGAACATTAGGCTAATGCTCTATTCATTGATCTTTCCATGTGAGGAGGTTGGTATTAACTTTTCATGGGCAGAGAACTGAGTCGCAGTGGAATGGATGGAAAAGTCAGCTGTTGGGTTCAGGTGAAGCATGGCAGGCAGTTTTACATTCAGCAGGGTTGGATAGGCTGGTGGAGTGAAATGTGGCTTTTATCTTGAAGAGGTAACTTGATTTCTTGTTGACTTGATATTTAATTTTAAATTAAATCATTATAGATTAGTATATTTATGCTTATTTGACTTTATTATATTTTTATATATACCACGTATTTTAAGAAATGTAATATAAAGTCAAATAAACTGAAGTCCTTGATGCTCACATAATAAATGGAATACTTGAAAGAAATGTTACCTTCCTTTTTGGAACAGTAGATAGAAAGGCAATACGCAGCCCAGAAGTGGGGTGTGCTGGAGTTGGGCGAGTGAGCTTGCCAGCCATTTTTTGCGGCCACTGAGTCACAATGACCTTGTTTGTATTGTGGTGTAACAGCTAAGAAGTTTTTTTTTTTTTTAATTATTTACTTGCTCTATGAGCTTGTTAGTGCTGCTGCTCTTTCAGCAGTTAACAACTCACCAGGAAATCCTATTTTGGTCAAGCAGATTGAAGGCTCGGTGTTCACTTCAGCCTGTGGTTTCCCCCACACCTGCCCTGCTCCCCACAGGAAACTTCCTTTGAATGAAGCTGCCACAGAATTGTCACAAAGTGAATTTGTGTTAGAATATATGAATCCTGATTTGAGGTTCAGCAAACCATGTGAGGTTTCCTGGTGATAGCAGAGCACTGCTGTGAGATTTTGTGTGGAAGGTGGCAGGAGAAAGCTGCTTTTTTTTTTTTTTTTTTTTTGGTTGTGACCTTTACTTTTGTACAAATTCTTATACTTTCCCAAATCACAAGACCTGTTTGATCTACGCTACCATGAGAAAACAGCTCCCTTTGTGGGGGAGGGGGGAGGGGAAAAGTGTTTTTTTTTTTTTTTTTTTTTGGGATGTTGTTGCTAACAGGATGTAATGTGGGTACAATTAGAGAAGTCTTTCATAAGCTTGCTGTGTGATAAGACACTTCAGTCTTGCTTAGCGTTTGCAGCTTTTTAGCTGAGCTTCCTTGATTAAAACAGAAGATTGCACCTGTATTGTGGCACCTATGATTCTAATTTTGTGTCCTTCAGGAGATTCTTCAGCCCTTCTTAACCCTGGGCATTTTACCCATGTCAGTAGTGAGAGCCCAGTGCTCCTACCCTGCCCTGCCTCAGACTGTAATTCATAGATGGGCAGGACGCCTTTCATCTCTCCTCACCAAAGAGCTTGTTTGTCAAACCTGTTAAGAGAGCACTTGTGTTCTCTGTCAGTAGTGGGTTGACAATTTAGAAATGAATACATTTTGGACTTAATCTGAATTTGCAGTATTTTGGGTGTAAATATTTACAGCTCTTCAGACTGATGTAACAATAATTCTTGCTGTTCCATTCATGTGTTTCGGACGCCTAGTACCTGGTGTGGCTTTAGTGTATTTTGCTTCAGGTTCTCCAAAAAGAAATGATTATGCTCTGCTGAGGATAGAGTATATAGCATGAATGCAGTAAAACAAAATTTCACACAATGAGCATTATTTCACAAGTCTGAAGAGGGCTGCTGTGACAGATCAGAGAAGCTCTTCACTTGATCTATCACAAACAGCACTGTGTTTCACATAGTGGCTCTAGAACTAAAGGAGACAGTGGTATGCGATAGTTATTGTAGTAAAAGCCCCTGAATATGCCAGCACTTCCACAATGATTTGAAATAATCTTGCCTTACCAGAAAATCTTAATTCTTCTTAAATGTTTTAGGTAATAGATGAAATTTATCGTGTGCTAAGGTATGTAAACTCTACAAGAGCTCCTCAGAGAGCTCATGAAGTTCTTCAAGAACTAAGGGACATTTCCTCCATGGCTATGGAATATTTTGATGAGAAGATTGTTCCAGTACTGAAAAGAAAGATACCTGGGTCAGATGTATCGGGACGTCTGCTAGGAACTGCCCCAGGTATTAATTCCAACGTATAGTTAAGTTTTATTTAGTTCTTCTGTAAAAAATCACAGCACTGTGTCTTTTTTAAGCTCCCTCCCTTAAATGCAAGCTTTATTACATAAATATTGATGATACTTGTTTCTTAAGAATGTGAACTGAAATTCATTTCCTTTGGAATTTAAGGAGCCTTTGTACTACCAAAAGAACAGTCACTTGAATGTATGTTAGAATTATGCATAGTGTGTATTCATTAAACAGATGCTTTTGTGCCACCAATGAAAGAGACTTTATCGTTGCACTTGGTTGAAACTTGGCACGTGAGACAACAACTTGATGCCTTTTATTTTTAGGACAATCAGCAAATGAATCAGCGTAAGCTGCTGTAGCCCACAGAGAGCTAGACCATACTTGGATGGGCTTTTTTACCTTCTTGGGGCACTAATGTATACGCTAAGGAGTCAAATACTTATGTGTAATAGTGAAAAGGCAATTAAGATAAGAGTCTATAAATAACCAATTAAACTAGTACAATCTGTCAGACTTTCCAGAAGTGAACCAACTCATGTGGTCTAAGGCAGTTGCCTCATATAATGGCCAAAAGCAAAAGGTGAGGAGAACTGTAGTGTTTTCCTTGTGCTCACCATCTTTATACTTCCTGGGAACTCTGAAATTAACTCTCTGACAGGGAAGCTTAATAAAAATAATTAAAAAAAAATGACATCTTAAGCAAAAAACATAGGCCTAACTGTAAGAGCTGCTTGTTGTTTCTAGTATGTCCCATCCATCCTTTTAGTCATAAGTGTGTGTACCGCCTCTTAATTGTATCATGTTAATTATACCTCAATTTAAGGAAGCATTGCCCAAAACCATAGTAGATGTCAGTTGTATTTTCAAGGCCAAGACTTTGTGGCATAAAAATGCCTGGTTTGTGCTGAGGGAGGAGCATAACCTATCTAATGGCAACCTTTAGTGTCATATAACTGTAGCTGTGCTGGCATCTTTAAGGGAATAAAATAAAATAGGAGGATTATGATTATTCTAGAGTGTTCCAGACTGTTCTGTCTTCGTAGCAATTAAAAGTTGCATCTTACATGCACAGAGTAAGTTACTAGAAGAGTGAAGTAATAGAAGTAGAAGAAGTGATAGATATCTTTTATGATCGAAAAAGTGAAAGAAATGATACAGTAGCTGTTAGTCTCCTTGATTTGCAGGAACTTTATTAAAATCAACAGTCCCAAGCTCAAATTCCAGTATGGTTTTAGTACTTAGGAAGAGTGAGTCTAAAGAAGCATGGAAAATAAATTCCTCTCCTCTAAAAAGTAAGTTAAACTGAAATACCTTGTTAAGCCCCAAACCACAAAATTTTAGAACTTTAGCTGTCTACAGCAGAATTGTACTGCTCTATTGGAATAGATTTGATGCAACTAATACATAATAAGTAATTTATAGACATGTGGATTTTTGGCTTAGAATCTGTGACACTAAGTCTAGATGACAATATAATCTGTCTTCATAATTTTCAATACAGCAAAAGGAGGGGGGCTTATATACAGAAACTGAACAATGAGCTGTTTTCTGGACTACTGGAAATCTATTTTTAAATTGAAATAATTGTGCTCTGAGATACCCTACGCTCTTGTTAGACACTTAAATGGCTGTAAATCTGTTTCCATGTTCACATAACTTGCAGCCAGAATTTGGATTCGTGTTTGGGGAGTGGGGAATAAGCAAAATAGGAGAAGTGGGACACAGTTTCTGCCTCTGTCTTGAAAGTTGCAGAGGATTAATCCAAGTTTTCTCTGAAGTTCCAGGAACTTCTGCAGCGCTGACAACGATGCAGCTGTTCTCCAAGCAGAACCCTCTAAGGCAGGACATCACCAAACTCCAGCAGCAAGTCAAAACCAATGGCACGGGCCTGACGGCGCTGAAGCGGGAAATCTCGGAGCTTCGCGTCAAAGTGCAAGAGCAGCAGAAACAGCTCCAAGATCAAGACCAGAAACTGCTAGAGCAAACCCAAATCATAGGGGAACAGAACGCCCGGTTGGCGGAGCTGGAACGCAAGCTGCGGGAGGTGATGGAGAGCACAGTAGGAAATTCTTCAAGTTCTGGCTCAAATGAACAGTCTTCTGGGAAACGGAGGAAGGCGGTGGAAGCCACAGACTGTCCTAGGAAATCTAAACGCCTTCGGAACAGAAAATAACTTGGGAGAAAAACGACGCCTTCAGGAGGATACACTGCTTCAGTAGCCCAAGCAGGTCTGCTCGTTGGGATACTGTGACTAGCTTCACAGTGTCCCTTATAGTCTGCTGGCTCTTCAAAACACCACTTAGACTCGAACAGTTATTTTCTTTCATGGAGACTTTCCCCCCTGCTTTCTGTATGGGTCGGCCTAATGCACAGAATCTTTCAGATTTGCAATAGTTACATACTAACCAGACCTGCTCTGTTACGTTTTGAAAGGTTAATCTTTTTTTTTTTCTGTGCAGATGTGTTTAAAGTAAACTTATTTGTGTTTATGCATATGTTCACATAAAATCTTAAATAAATTCAGTCTTAACTGACTAAAAAGTTAAGCGTAAAAACAGATGTCCTGTTCACTTGAAGGAAAGATCCACTTCTAAAATCTTGATTTAGAGAACTTGACCTTTTTTTTTTTTTTTGTTACAAGTGACCTTGTCTGGAATGTCTGAAAAGTAGCTAATACTTTTTGGGAATCTCTGTAACAAGTAAAACTGACTTCTTAAGCTACAGTATTGGCTATATATTTTTGTAAACTCACAAGGAAGGGCCTTCTATCCAGTCTTGACCCCCACACAGCCTGGTCCTTGGTCTCGGGAGTATCCTTCCAGTGAGGTGCTCCTCCAGTCATGGGAGAGTCTGAGCCCAGGCTCTCTGCTGATTTTTAACTGCCTGTAAAATCAGGGAGCGTTAGTCAAAGCTGGAGAATGGAGAAGCTGCCTACACATCGCTCAATTCATAGGCCAACATCTAGTACGTAGCAAATTGTCCCCACAATAACCCAGCTCAGGGGGACATCATTTGAACAAAACGCTGTATTATGGAAAAACTTAAAACTATTTTGTGTGTACGTGTTGGGGGTGGGGTGGGATGGAATTTTCTCTGTAACACTGATGACGATATTCTAAGCTTTCCTTAACCTAAAAGGTCAATCACTTCAGACAAAGCTTTAATTTCTTTTGCACTTCTGTTTTGAGCTTGTAACTGGAAAAGCATGTCTTGCACTGTTCAGTCTCTCTGGTCACTTTAACAACCTCAGAGTTGTCTACAGTGATTTTTTTTTTTAAATTTTTTTCCTCATCTGTATATTTTTGGAACTTTGTACAAATACCATATATAATGGTATTAGCTCATATCAGAAGTAACATTGCAAATGCCTAATTTTTGGCAGACATTTAATTTTCAAATAAACTTGTTGGGGAGTTTGAATCTTTTTTTAAAAAGGCATGTTTCTTAAGAAAAGCATCAAGGAAAAGATAAAAAGTTATCTGGGGGAAAGGTTAAACTGTTACAGGAGCGTTTGCTATTACTGGTCTTCCATGGTTGAGAACTTTTTAATGTTAAAGATCTCTTTAAGATAGATACCTGCTGTTCAGTTTAAAAATACTGGCGTATACTTTATCTTTTAAAAAATAATTTTGAATCAAAGGGTCAGCATGGTAGCTACAATTACTGTGTATCATTTGATACAAATTCATTTAATGGTCATTCATGATGACAAATTAATGTAATGGTCTAATTACCAGATATTTGTGGTTAAATACTTATAAACAAGTATAAACCTGTGAATTGCATTTACTGAAAAGGTTTATTTGTACATCTCTTTCACTTTAGTTTCTTTATTCATTTCCCCACCTGACAATATACCAATAGTTCCAGGTTATTCAAGAGTAACATTGATATGTTGATGAATCTCTAGCTGTGTATAAACTGAGCTGGAAAGAACAACAGCCTATTGTTATGTGAAACTCTCCATGAATGGTGCCAACTTGGAACCTCCAACTCCAGGAAGCATCACATGCTGTGAGTTCACAGGTGCATCCTGATCCCTTGTGTGCTACCAAGTGTAGTAAAATTGGTTAAGGCCCCCAAAACTTAAGGGGTGGGGGGGGATGGTTACAAGCTCTGAGAAGTGCCACAACAAAGGTACACTGCTATTTGGGGTTTACTTCCTAGGGAGGGAGACCTTGGTATCAGATGGCTCTCAGACTAACAGAATGAACTATTAGCTTAGAGAAAATAGCTGGAATGTTAACTATTGATGCCAGTGTCCCTTACTAAATAAAAAAGGATGCATTTTGCAATATATGCACAAATTGATAAATAGTCTGAAGGAAAACTAAATCACTTTTGGCTATAAAGGCAAATGCAAGTTTACCTGAGTTGGTATATCAGCCTCAAAAAGTACAGTTAGTAGTGATCAGTGATTGTATAATTTGTTCGAAGGAGAACCTCAATCCAGGGAGACTGAGATGTAGTTTACAGTGTGACATGACAAATCATTTTATTTGCAGCCAGTGTTTGGTTTTAGTACTTGCAGCAAGGGCTGAAGGCAAACAGCTCAGGCTTGAAAGACGATGCAGAAGTAAAGTGTCTTATACTTAGCTTCTTAATAGCTTGAAACCACTGAGGCAATAGTTCATTAATGTCACAACAATGCCTTCACATAATTTTTTAACATAAAAAGTAAGACTATATTGAACAGAAACTGAATTTGTTCCTACTGAGATCTTCCAACAGTTAATTGTGGGAAGCACTAAAACTGCCAAAGGAATTTTCAACATCAAGAGCCTCTTGAAAATAGGATGACGTAGGATGCAGTTAAAGATGTCTTCAGACAGGAAAGGACAACTTGTTTTCTTGATGTTCCTGGTGGTTTTAAGAAGGTAACCGGCAAATTGCAGCCATAGATTGGTCTTTCATTCGTAAGTAAATTCAGTTTGGAGTATTTTATAGCACCACGTCTGCTAGCGGTCAACTATCTTGATAACTCTCCAGTTCTGTTCCTGTGCTGCTTTGTCCTTTGCCTGGACCAGCTCACTTGTCCCTGAGCTCTCTGCTCCGGCAGAGCTGTGCTTACTGGATCTCGCCTTCCTGGTTGGACGGGGATGCGCTGCCAGCTCTGCTTTCCGTGTAAGTGAACGCTCCCGGATTTTTTTGTTCTAGCTTTGTGCCAGCTGAACGTGTGCTGGTTACTCTTTGTCTTCGGAAGGGAAAATGTCAGAGAGAAAACCTGTTAGCTTGCTGAAGACCTAATAAATCTGGGTTTGCTCTATGGACTGCTTAAACCAGACTGACTCAGTGGTTAAACAGGAAAAAACACTTTGCACTCCAGGACACTTGGGCAATTAAATTTTCCCAAACCTTCCTATTAAATATTTTTCTCAGTTGTTGAAGCATTGTTTAGCTTCTGTGGGATATTTCGTTTATAAATCTGGGATCTTCTATTTAATTAACCTATTAAATACTTCTATTTAATTTCAGCAAATATTTAATTGCTGAAACTTGTCACCATTTACGAGTCTGTATACATGGGCAGTGTTGTAAACCTGCCTGTGCATGCTGAGCTCTTGCTACTGTTTCTCTCTCTTCCAGTGCTCCTGGCGACAGCTCTAACCTTTCTTATCAGCAGTTCACTCTTTGGCCAGGATCCTTCCCATGGACAAGAAGGTCTTTAGCACAGTGATGGATAGCAGTGCTAATATTTGATCTACTACAAGATGGGAACATTTTCCAGAAATGTTACGTATGCTGTTTGGAGGGCAGTTGAGTGAAACGCTTGTGATCCTGGCCATTTTGCAGTCTGCTTCTTCGCTGGTAACTCAAAAGCACTTCCTGGTTTATTGTGAAGCGGCCAACGAAGTAAAAGTAAAGTAAAAAAGTAAAACTGAACAGCCCTTGCAAGGACAAAATGCCTTGATGAAATCTAAATATCTATTTTACCTCTTACGCTGCACCAGTCCTCATAAAGGCTACAAAATTCAGATCGTCTGACTAAGGAGGTAGAAGCTATGAATAAACTTTCCCATCTCTCCTCTACTAGCTCCCCTTTTCACGTCTGATTCACATCCTAATATGCACAGATTAAAAATGCATGTAAACAAAAATAATTGCGAAGCTGTTGTTTTATAGACCCTGTGCTTCGTCCATTACTTTAGATTGCAAGCATTTTCAAGTAGGGGTTATATTTCCCTTATATCTGCATGGTTGCGTATAAGGGCCTTTAGAAGTTGGTAGGCATTAGCCTTTTTTGTTCATTGTTACTAATACATTTTAAAAGAATTATCGTAAACCTTGAGATATTCCTATTATGTTAATAGATAAGGTATAATTTAATTTGTGATAACTTCCTCTGTTGTTTTTATCACTATTCTTGATTTAGAGTATTTTAATTTGAGTGGATTTATGGACAACTAAAATTCCAAGCAAACAGTCATTCAGCTTATACATAAAGTAATCTTTGTAACTGAACTGCCTGCAGTCAATATTACATGAGAAACAGTCGCAGGTTAAATGGAGTTTAGTGCTTACAGAAGGAGTTTGTCAAATAAGTAAGTTCTTAAAATATCTTACCATAAAAAGTGAAGAAAACAAAGACCTTGCCACAGGCGTTTTGAGTTGTGGTTTGTTGTTGAAGGCAGCTTATAGAAATTTAGATTTTGGACAAGTGATAGCTAGTCCTTGCAACCACGCATCTTGGAAAAGAAAGAGTGGTTAATTTTAAAGAGCTAGTGAAAGATGCTGTTTCTGTTTCCAGTCTCAAGAAAGCAAGTTGGTGGGGCTGCTGAGCTGCCTGCGGTGGCTTCTGGGCAAGGTTGTGCCAGCAGCTGAGAGGAACAGAAATCTCACGGGCAGCCAAACCTGGGCACACACGCTGAAAGGCAGAGGGGGGGAAGGGACGTGGAGCGGCTGAGGCCTCACCGCCCCGCTCCTCGCAGTCCAGCTCCTCCTCGCTGCTGCGGGGAACGGTGAAGGAGCTCTTGTTCCCCCTCAGCGCCCCGGCAAGGCCCGGCCTTACAGGCCGAGAATTTTCTCTCCTTCCTTGAGTTACGCGGGCGGGTTGTTAAAGGCACCCCCAGCGCCGGCGGCAACGCGGCCCGTTTGAGAGGCGGCCCCGCTGAGGCGGCAGCGCCCACACGGCCCCTCGGGACCCCCCCCCCCGCCCTCGCTGCGGCCGCTGAGGAGGCGGCTGGCGCCGGCCGCAAGCTCGCCAGGCCGCGGCGGTAGCGGGATGAGTCAGGGAGGGGAAGGCCGGGGGAGCCGCAGCCCGCCCGGGCAGAGCGGAGGGGCCTCTCCCCTGAAAAAACGGGGAGCACGGATCAGTCCTCGCCGGCGGAGATGGGGGTCTGAGGGGCGCCCCGCGTCCCCGCGGCTGCCGCCGGGC